TTAGAATATGCCATTATGAAGGTCCAGGAAAATCAGGTGGAAAGCTGCTGGTTATAGAAATGTAAATTTTATAGTTAATTTTTTTGTCATTTTTTGACATTTTTAGATTTAAGGTCATTTCTTCATTGGGGTGGGGGTAATTGTTTGGTAAATTTTTGGACTTTTAAGGGTATTTCTTGTCATTTTTTGCCATTTTAGGGAATTTTTCTTCATATGCTTTCTGAAATGTGAATAACATGGAAGCGAAGTGTTCTTTCTTTTCTCCTTTAGGTCATTTTTCTGGATTTTTCGGTCATTTTATAGGTCATTTTTTTAATATTTTCAGGTCATCAAAATCCGGGCCCTGCATATTACATTTTTGGGTCACACTTTAGGTCATTTTTCTGGAATTTTCCAGTCATTTTATAGGTCATTTTTTAAATAGTTTCAGGTCATCAAAATCCGGACCCTGGTCATCATATTCTGTTACGTGCCCCAGGAGCCATATCTACTGCTGCTTTTATAAATGTTCCACGTTTATTAATTACTAGCTTATAATTAGACGTTCCGATGTGAATTGTCATTTACTGTAAAAGAATGTAACTTTTTTACCATATAATTATACCGACTTTCTATGATTAATTTTAATACATTATCCCACTATTCTTACCACAGTATTACTGTCATATAACGCTGTTATTTCTTCCGGGTTATTTTTCTCTTCTGGCATTCCTACCAAAATGTTGTTTGCAAATCTTGTTTCCCCATGCATTCTACATATCTCGCCTTTCTTATCCCCAAATTGGTCTAAAATAAACTGCGTAATTTTCTCCAATATTCTATTACCACGTCCATCTTAACAGCAAGTATAATTAAACATACATATCTTGAAAACGATATTTACAGAACAGTGTCAGCTTAATTTTAATCGTTTCTTGTATCCTGTTGTGGGTTTAATCAATATTAGAGTGAATTTACCGACTACACAACACGTCTTTATTATCACATATCACTACATGTTTCGACCTCAAGAGGTCATCCTCAGGTGTATGAACACGGCTGTATAATTACACGCGGTCACATTCACTTTTTCCTCATTCGACCTTGTATCTTTTCCAGACTTACGCTCACTAATATATCGAGTTCTTTTTATAAAACACAGGTTAAAATTATTATATTCTAATTTAATTGTTAAAAGTTAAAAGTTCGTGAATCGAAGTTAAATTAGAATAATAATAATTTTAACCTGTGTTTTATAAAAAGAACTCGATATATTAGTGAGCGTAAGTCTGGAAAAGATACAAGGTCGAATGAGGAAAAAGTGAATGTGACCGCGTGTAATTATACAGCCGTGTTCATACATCTGAGGATGACCTCTTGAGGTCGAAACATGTAGTGATATGTGATAATAAAGACGTGTTGTGTAGTCGGTAAATTCACTCTACTATTGCGTGTCAGCTTAAACCAAGGGAACTATGTGGATCACAAGATAATACCACCCTGAAGATATAAAGAAAATTTTATTTATATTGTATTATTTTAATTTTGTTTCCGAATACATATTCAAGACGCTTTCAGGATCATATCCAGCGTATCATCTTCTCAGTGCGTTCTTTCATTTGTTTTACACCACCTTCTGTAAACAGTCATTTTTACTTCTCTGCCTTTGGCAGTTCAATGTCGGTATAGTGTGGAATGCAGAGCAGGTAAATGCAGCATCCCTTCCGTTGCCTTGTAGCACGGAGCTGTAAGTTCCAAAGAAATGATCCCTTTAAGACACAGGTCTGTCTAAGCACCACTAATTCATTGCTAGTGTATAAAACAATTAGCAAGAAGAGGGCAGATTTTTGGGAAACTGGAGAACTGCCTCAGTGGATACACTCTGCTGAGATATTTACTGTATTATGATAAATTCCAGATTTCCTCTAAATAGTAGCAGTTTCTGTGATTTATGGCTTCATGTTAATGTAGCTGCTTGCTTGTACATCAGTAATCCCAAATACTCCGTATAATCACCTTGGAACAGCTGATTGAGTGTCTTATATGGGTGAAATGACCTAGGACAATAATTAGTATGAAAATATGAGAAGTATGGAACAGATTCTTAGCCGGTAACACATTAGAAAACGTTCTGTTTTCGTACGTGCCGTAAAGTAAGAAAATTCTATAAAAATTCGAAAATATTTTTTTTTAAAAAGTACCCCTGATTACACAAACTACTCACCACACGTTGTCAATGTCTGAATCAGAAAGTAAAGCGCTGTTGCAGCGAATCAGGAAAGTCATCTTTGGGTTGTGTGTCATAAATCTGTGTCCGTTATCACGAAAGGCTGATCTGTAACGAAATCACGTATGTTCCACATCACGTGATACCAGACTTGCATACAACACACGATGTTACTAACTTTCAGGTCTTTCATGTCTTCAGAATCAAATAGATACCCCCCCCCCTTTCCCTCAATTCACATGACTTAAAACGCTTTGTTCTTACGTAGATTAAGTGGAATTTTTGTTTCACTGCATCAGCTTCGATCAGTTGATTCTCTCCAGTTTACCTCAAAAGTCGTTGATTCATTTTGTTGTTTCTGGCAACAAAGGGGTTCAAGTAAGACACTCGGCTTCGTTCCGCTATTTAATTTCTTTTGTTTACACTCACCCACATACCGGGGGGAAAGGGAGGGGAAAAAACACTTTGCCAAAAAAAATGCATTCCTTATAAATACAATTAATGACCAACAATGATGTACACAGTTGTTGTGCAGAGACCTCTTGCAGCTTGTGTGATAAGTAACTACAAACATACTTCATACTACCAACACTTTTAAATTCACATAGATATAAATTCATCACCCATTTATAGTGAGAATGTTTGACAACAAAGATGCTCATTGCAACAGGCTGAAGCATTAAATTGACAGCTTTCTCTAATCGTGTTTACAGCGTTCCAATTTCCTTCGATCCGTTTCAGTGTCATTAAAATAATTTCAGACATTCCTGTTTACCATAATTTTGGCCTAAGAAATAGCTTCAGCTGGGGACTAACTGATGAAGCGAATTGTCATTTACATTGTATTAACATGGGCTATGTTGTCGCTTCCTGAAGAGCATCCTCAATATATTCGGAGGACGAATATACCAATCCATGAACCATATAGTCTTTTTGTCGCAGTACTGGCACTGAGGCCTGCTGTCTGAATTTAAAATTAATTTAAATTAAGCATAAAGCATATATGGCTGAATCAGACGTAGAAATATACGTGAAATTTGTATCCGTCTTCGTGATGCAGACTGACTATCACATTACTGTGTACCGTTTCAACTGCATGAGTTATAGAGCAGTGAAAAGATGAGAAGGAAATAAGTAGGTAAGGATTTGAAAGGAGGCAGCCGTGGTATTTTTCAGAGATTGTTGCCAACGTCTGTCCGAAGAGATATTCGATAACTCAGCTGGGATCCGAGAAGGGTGCCTTGTTAGAACACACGTCTTGAACCTTGTTGCTACCTCATTCTCCTTTAAACCAGAACACAGTGATAGTAATATCAACTGGAACTAATCATTTTGCCAAGTTGATGGAGCGTACAGGTTGCTGACACAGTTTTAACTGACCTGAATGGCAACCCGGAAGAATTTATGTTGTTACTACATCCGCCCTTTTGTCTTCGGCGGCAGCCACAGATGCTGAAGTTCCTGTGAATGTCTGTGTCTAGCTGCAGTGTCATTTCTCTAGGGCATATCTCGATATTTCTAAGAGGAACCGAAAGGAAAGGAAAGTATAAGCTCCGAACAGACATAATCGATATATCTCGAAACAAAACACCGTAGATCATTTGAGATTTAATTGTGTGCTGCGAAGAGAGACAATCAGATTATCTCTGAAGCGGGCATATTCATGTTGATAATTTTTAGTATTCCACAGCATAGCTTCCACTCTTCCGGAATCCTGTTTCCAAAATGCATGTGCTTGTGTTCTACAGAAGTTTAGGCTTGCTATTGTGAAGTACGCTTCCGCCTCAGAACAGAGGATGGCCACCGTGGTCTACTATTAATGGAAAATTAAAGTAAAGAAAGGAAACTAGGAAGGATGGGAGTGAATCCAGATTGATGCATCGTATGAGAATGAAGATATTAGAGAATATCTGGGAATAACTGATATCAGCACAACAGCAAAAAGTAGCAAAAGAAATTGTAGGAAAACTCCCAAGCCACAATCCTGGTCCATTCAAATGTCCTATCAATATAACAAGAATGGAATGGCAAAGACAACGGACAGAAACATGGGATAGGTAAAGAGCGCAATCTGTAATTCTTATAGTGAGCAAAGTAAGGTTGTTCCTGTGCGTAATCACCATAACGTGAAGAAGTATGGGGGGTGGCGGTGAACCTCATCGCATTCTTAAGCTTGGTACTAGATGAGAGGGAGCCGGGTTAGCTCAGTTGGTATAGTGACTGGCTACGGGCTGGAAAACTGAGGGACCTGAGTTCGAGTCCCGGTAGGCTGAAGACTTTTCTGTTCTCCACGTCGTCCAGACCGGCTCTGGCGTCCATCGAACCTACTATACAGTGGGTTCTGGGGGCTCTTTCCCAAGGGATAAAGCGGCCGGGGCGTGAAGCTGACCACTCACCTCTAGCTAATGCCGCGGTCAAGAAAATGTGGATCTATACATCCACTCCCCCATTTTCCTTCATGGCGTAGTGCTTAATTAGTTAAGCACAGGGACAACTTTACCTTTTACTAGATGGATGTGCGTGGTCAGCTTCATCTCCATTAGCATTAATCACTGTACCCGTTGTAGAGCAGGCGGAGAACGGTCCAGAGCAGATCTGTAGGTGGGAGCGAAGAGAAAAGTACCAAGGAACAAAAGTCATTTTTTCTAGGCCATATTTGGCCACTTTGCTGACTGAGCTGTAGTGGAAGGGAAATATACAGCAAAAGAGTGGATTACCTTATGATGTGTTGACACATCTTCATAAATATATGCCGACTGGTTGACAATATGTCAAGAGAAGCTGGACACGCACACAGTGTGAATAGTTACCTGTATTATTACAGAACAGACAATTTTCTCGAGTCCTCTCATATTCTACTGAAACTTGCAGTCCTCTCTCTTGATATTTACTGCACTGGAGATTAGTTCCTAAGCAACAATCGAACACCGCTCTCTGACAACACACACCTGGCGGCTGGCTACATTTATACAACTCAAATATCTTAATTCATATACACAAAACATAGTGTAATATTGAACATACATCACAGTAATGTGAATTTAAATGCTTTCTAGAGCATACTTATATCCTAGAAAGCCAAAGTCAGGCACATACATCGGCACCACTGTTGCCTAGTTGTAGAAAATAATAGAGACATCTATCACAAATCTGGCATTGTCTCTGCTTCTTATGCCCAGTTCAAAGAGAACAGTGGCACAGGATTTTGCGGTCGACAATTCATCGCAAGACGATGCATTTATGTGCTTTTTGGTCATTTCAAATTTTCAAGAATAATTATACCAACTGTCACAATAACATATTTCAATAGTGAGCTTATAAACTTACGCGAAGCTATTGACTCTGTGTTTCTTAACCCTGTACACAGGGACCAAGGTAAGGTCCTATGAAGAAGCATGTTCCCAGTGACGGCACAATGATTAAACAGGAGGCCAATCGGGCCCTTAAACTGTGACTATTTGTGGTCTGTCAGTGACAGCATGGGAAGGTATGGAGCAAAAAAATATATAGAGCATGAAATGCAACAAATAAAAAACGCAAGAGTCTTCTGGTTATATTATTATGTCATTATAATGTTTGGTTTCGAAGGAAATTCATAAAATTTATTTCGAAGTATCCTGGTAGGGACATAAAAACTGTTGCCGAATAAGCAAATTCTTTCGTCCAACAGCCGTCAGAATATGCCAAAAGGCGCAAAACGTAATCTCACAGATCATTAAGAAAAACGCCAACTACAAAAATGGCCGACCCGCGGCTTCAATATAAAGATAATTTATGAGATGATGAAGAATCGCATGGAATAATGGACCCCTGTACTGAAGTTCTAAGTCCCAGAGATTCACAACGTAGCACTCCTGCCGCCACTGCGAACTAGCGCTAAGGCTTTCGACAATATCAAGAATAACATGTTCGATTTTTAAAAATGTATATCAGACGAATAAATATAATTTCTTTTGCAATGTCTTATGTGAGAATCTGAACGGCAGTCAGTGTTCAATCTGTAATACATATTTAATCCCTTACTAGCTGAATGTTGTATATTCCTGTCCATACTACGCCCTTTTGATGCAATCAGTGAAAGAAACCTCTTCAAGAATCTCTCTGCAGTTGAGTTCTTTGTGACTCTTCAGCAACATAAATTATACTTCGATCTGGAAATAGGGCCTAATGACAGAAAAAGGTTTCAGGCAGAGCGTGGAAAGAATTCATGTTTTAAAACTTTAGAAGTCCCAATTCGGACTTATATTTGAGAGTTTCATAAACATTTGCGTAGTAAGGGGATTTTCTGAGTTACATGTTTATGTATATATGTACGTAACTGATCAGTGATAAATAATCTATCTGAAATCCTTATCGAACACTTTCAGCTTTCTCGAACGAATAAATAATAATTAGACATTTTTCAATTTGTAGATCCAACACTGACTACAGATTTGGTACTAAACATTTCCCTTAATATCAATAGTCTTAACACTTCTTATGGGATCAGTCTTGTTTCACGTGTCTGGCTTCTTCTCTTCATATCCACGGACCAATGTCTCGATAATAAGCTTGATGGTCACTTTGTAGATGCTTTCTATGTTCTCCGTGTATCGGTCACCAAGAGTCATCTGCACTGCCTCCAGGAACGGCCGCTCGATTCGCTGAAACAATGTAACTCAGGTTATTACAATGAGCATATTTTAATCCACTTTCTCCGTTAGGAATGATAAAACTTACTGTATCAACAATTCTGTGAATGTCCTCCAAAATATTTTCGAACAAACTGAAGAACTCGCATGACACTTGGTATAAATAACAAGCCATTCGAGGTCACCCTACCGATGTTATTTCTAATGTTCTCTCATAAATAACACCAGCATTAGGAATTCTGAGGTGCAGCGACCTTAGCACTAGTTATTGTGGGTTCCTGAAAATTGTGCCATAATAGATCTCAGAAGAACACGCAGTCTGAGTTCTCGTAGGACATGAAAATGGTTGTCCCTGTACTTAACAAAGTAAGCACTGCTCCATGAACACGTATAGAGGAGTGGATGTAGAGGCACGTGTTTTCTTTACCTTGGCACTAGTTTGAGTTGAGTGGTTAGCTTCACGTTTCGGCTGCTTTATCCCAAGGGAGAGAGCCCTAAGTGCCCATTGGATAGGAGGCTGAGTTGAACCCAGAGCCGGTCTGAACGACATGGAGAAGTGAAACTTCTTGACCCCACCAAGACTAGAACTCCAACCCCTCGGTCGTCCAGCCAGTAGCTAGTACCTATACCGACTGTCCTTTCCCGGCTCACCGTAGGTTGTAAAACAACAAAATAATTTCCACGCCACACCTATATTTGGGTTTCGATTTGCTGGGGGTGTATAATGAACTAGTGAAGCAAACAGCCATATAAATTCTGTGGGAATACTTTTAGTAAGTTGTGGGGATCCGTTGCGCTAACCACGCGACACCCTCTATCCGCAAAAGTTGGCACTAAACGTTGTTGACAAGCGGCGGTCGCTCGGTCAGTATAGTTCGCTTGCGGACTAAAATCACGAAGTTTTTTTTTTATAATTATGGTAAAAATGCAAAATTTTGAAGTTATATCTCGCAGTCTGAATTTTTAATTACAGAAACCACACACAGAAATTGATCAATAATTACAAAAGGGCAAAGTTGTCCCTGTGCGTAAGTAATTAAGCACTACGCCATGAAGACAAATGGAGGAATGGATCTATAGATCCAAGTTTTCATAACTTCGACACTAATTGGAAGTGAGTTGTCAGGTTCACGCCCCAACCGCTTTACCCCCGGGGAAGTGATGAATAATTATTAACCTGTTCTTCCTGCTAGCCTCACCACACAGACTGAAATATTAAATTGGATGTATTTTCGTCCATGCTGCTTCAGCAGTGAAGTTAAAGCTATCCCTGTAACAGGCCATGGAGACCCATAGGGTTGTGAGCGTTGAGGGTTCCACATTATCTGAACAATCGGCTCATAGATGGCGGTGAGGTTGTGAGCCTTACGCTCCGGCCGCCCCTTACCTCCTAGGAAGATTCCTGGTACTTATTTCTGTCAGAGACTAAGTCGACACCAGGGCCATAGTACGGCTGGAAGGATTAGGAAAATTGGAAATGTTCACCTCATTGGGACTCGAACCTGTGATCTTCCGGCTTGTAGCAGAGTGCCTCAATCAACTACGCTACCGCGTGCCCCCTAAGCAGTGAAGGATTTATAGAAATATCAGATGCACTGATATTTGTGTACTGTATATGTTTGGAAAATAATCTCTAGGTGACGTACAACTAACAGGTACAGTTTTCTTCAGTTTAATCATTAGAAATATTTGCGAATTATATTGGTTTCAGAGGGGCATTTTATTCGGACAAAAGTCCTTTATACTTGTATAAGCACAGCAATTTTATGTGAGCCTTTGGATTATATTAGTGGACTGAAAGGGTTGAAAATGAATATGTAGGTAAAAAGGTAAAGTTGTCCATGTGATTAATTAATTAAGCACTGCGCCATGGAGATGTATGGGGTAGTGGAGGTATATCTCCACCATTCTTGAGCTCGGCAAGAGATGCATGAATATGTAAAAGTAAGCATTGTGAAGTAGTGGCCGCACCATAACTCGAGCGGTTAGTCGCTGGCTTCCTACCGCGGCGGCCCGGGTTCAATCCCGGGTCTGGTCAAGTGGGATTTGTGGTGGACAAAGTGGCGCTGGGGCGGGGTTTTCCGAGTACTTCGGTTTCCCCTGCCAATCTTCATTCCACCAAATTCTCCATCATCATAATCACTCGGGGCAGGCTACAACAGGCCAATCAGTGGCCGCCGTGCTGAGTGGACCCAGTTGGACTCCACCCCCCACTAAGCGAAGCACTGTGAAGTAGGTCTTGTGACTGACTACTAACTTAAACCTCACGCCGAACACCCCAACTTGAGGGACACCACTTGTTTGTTGTTAGCGACTTCTTATTCAATATATTCGCAGCTCCCCTCCATATCTGGAGGCCGTCTCCTCCNCTCTCCCGTCCTCAACCTGAGGACACGCCAAGCCGTGGTGAAAAGGGGCCCACTTAACGTGGAGACATAAGAACGGATTAAATTCGAGTAATGCTTGCTACCATTCGGTTCAGAACTGTTTGTCTTCTCGTCTACTGACTAAAGACATAAAGATTAAAACATATCAAACTATAATTTTCCCTATAGTTTTGTATGGGTTTGGAACTTGGTGTCTATGATATTAAGGGAAGAACACAATTTGAGGGTGTTCCAGGATAGGGTGCTGAGGAGAACGTTTGAACCCAATGGGGAAGAAATAGCAGTCGGTTCGAGCAAACTGCACAACAAAGAGCTTCATAACTTGTACTTCTCACCAAACATAATGAGAATTAGATGGGCAGGGCATGTAACACGCAAGGCTAAGTAGAGGAGTGTACCTTTTATTGGATAAACCAGAAGGAAAGGAACCACTAGGAAGATCCAAACGTAGACGGGAAGATAATATTGTCACGTAGTATGTGTGACTATAGACGGGGTTTGGATTGGTGACTAGATTTATTGCTCAATTACAGGTCATAACTACAAATAACTATAACACTGTCTCTATTGCCACACTTTACATTTCACTAGAACACACAGTCTAGTGTTCTCAGTATGTTGCTAGACGTTTCCTTGTAACGGTTCCAAAAATGGCTATTCTTCTGCCTCCAGGCTCAAATTCTCTATTCACAGACTCCCACACAAACTGACTAAGCTCTAACTTTGTCTCTTGTGTATAACATCTCAGCACAGACAGTGTAGAAAACACCGTTCCTCTGTTGCATATTTATCCGTTGTAGAGGGGAAGTGCTTACCGAGCCGTTGTCCAGATACGGCCCTGGTATATCCCGCCATTTCGCGGTTGTTGCATAGCAACGACTCTACACGCTACAATATTAAACTGGGTCTTAGAGAAACAGGATGTGGCGTTCGGACTGGATCCATCTGCCTCTGTATAGGGACCAGTGGCGGGCTTTTGTGAACTTAGTACTGAAACTTCATGTTGGGAAATTCTTCAGTAGCTCAGCGGCTGGTGGCTTCTGAAGAAGGACTCGGGTGCATGGAATTAGTTACGCCGACGCACGGCCTCCAGTTGTGGGCGCTCAATACCTTACAGATCTGTGCTCAGCGGGTTGCCGCCCTTCCTACTCGGTCAGTTGAGGCGATAACATCACAGAGCGTACGTTACTGATGCGTTTGAATTATCTCACGTATATATATCTGCATAAAACACAAGACTAGTGATCCTCTCCCGCATGCATGGCGCCCCAGGCACTAACTTTTATATCATGAAGTGAAATTTTGTATATAAGGTGTAGATTTTTTCTGTACCCCAATATCTGTTCCATTATACGTAGGTTAGTCAATAAGTAAGTTACAAATGGATATATAACTTAAACAAATAAGAGTACTGATTTGAAAAATGCTTTTAGTTCTCAACATAATCTCCCTGCACATTGAGGCACTTGCCCCATCATTTCACAAGCCCCTGAAAACCAGCAGCATAAAATTATCTGCGCTGCTGACTTCCCTTTCTACAGCTTCATCGTCGGGAAAATGCCGTAAATGCCGACTCCTACTGTAACATCCTCAGGAAACTTCGTAAGGCCATTCAATGGAAGCGACCAGGACTCCTCACGAAAGGCGTGTTGCTCCTGCATGACAACGCGCGTCCCCATACTGCCAACAAGACAAATGAAACGCTGCGACATTTCAAGTGGGAAGTCCTCGAGCATCCTCCGTATAGCCCCGACCTTGCTCCAAGCGACTTCCATTTGTTCGGCCCTCTTAAACATTATCTTTCGGCTGAACATTTTCCCGACGATGAAGCTGTAGAAATGGAAATCACCGCCTGGTTCCGACAGCAGCCCAAAGAATTTTATGCTGCTGATTTTCAGGGGATTGTGAAACGATGGGACAAGTGCCTTAATGTACAGGGAGATTATGTTGAGAAATAAAAGCATTTTTAAAATCGGTACTCTTATTTGTTTAAGTTCTGTATCCATTTGTAAGTTATGTATTGATTTACCCTCATATGTTCACATATCAGCCGAAATAAAATCTATAATAATGTCATATTATCCCGCAATTTAACCAATTCAATCAGTTCATAATGACCGACTTGATCCTGAGTTGTGTTTGCTTCAAACAGTATTTGAATGGACAGGCTGGCACTAAGCAGTGGACACTGGAACAGAGTAACTCCACACATTATGCAACAGAATTCCATTTCGTGATCTATAATTTCGTATTTGGGGCGCCCTGAGTGCGAGGGTTTGTTCAGATAGCATTCACTGCTTCTGAGAGAAATTTACTGCTGTAGGAGACCAGTAACTTTCGCCTTGCGATACCACCCCCGCAGCTGGCCGAGCTGTGGAGTGAGTGGGCGTGGTGGTGTAGCCTCGCCTTGGACATTGAATTTTCGTTGGTAGGTTAAACATTACCGTTCCTTATGAACGTATAGCAGCTAAACGCCTTCACATCACTTTCATGCAGCTGACTCATTTCGTGCCCATAAACGGGTCACTGGCGATCCGCTTATTTGGCCGTGGGATTGTAACTACGTGTTATATATGATGTGAAAGTAATGCCACTGTCTTTTTTTTTTTAATTGCTAGTGGGGTG